TCAGTTCTATCATACCCTATTGATGGCCGACAAGTTGTTCGCACATACTTGCAGCGAACTGCGCTTACAAACTATAATACAGAAATGTATTCCAACAATGATCATATACATAGTGCGAACCATCGAAGAAAATGAAAGTATGAAAATCATGAGAAGAAAAACCATAAATGGCAAACGAGAAATATTCCAGCTCAAAGGCAGGAACGGTAATATAGTAACGGGCAGGGATAAAATATTACGTATTGTAGAAGAGTTCTATACAATATTATAATAGATATCGGACAAACCAAACAGAAGACGAACCATTGCAAAAGGTACAAAACCAAGGCTCTGAAGACATACCCGACATTTCTCACGAAGAAGACGGAATCGTAATAACAGACGCTATAAAACTTGGTGGACCAATTTTGATAAATAAAATCTTGGAACTCTTAAATTTGTGCCTGTGAGTAGGGAGTTTACGGGGGTTCTGGGCCAAGAAAGAGACGAGACAAAGAGACACCATCCCCCTACCGCGCCCTCATAGGAATCCCCCTAGTTTTGATCTCAAGCAATCCCCCTACCACTCAAGATACAACCATCCCCCTACCGCGCCCTCATAGGAATCCCCCTAGTTTTGATCTCAAGCAATCCCCCTACCACTCAAGATACAACCATATACCGCGCTAATTAAAGTATCCCCCCACCCTGTTATCTTGAAATAAATAGACTTATTTTCTTCTATACAAATCATTGAAATTTTGTCTGTGTGAACCATTCAAGTATTGTATATAATGCAGTATACGTTAAATAATGTTTAAATGCAACAAGTGTGATAAACCATTTAAGCATAAAACAAATGTTTATAGACACAAAAAGGAATCGTGTGTTTTTCGTTGTCCAAAATTAGCTGAAGGAAACCCAAAAATTCCCAAACTAATCTTGAAACGTTTTGCTGATATCTGGTTTATTAGAAGCAGCCAATCAAAAGCCAGCATTTGTGCCAGCAAATAATAAGAGCGAATACTATAAATTTCTGGAGCTTAAGATGGAAAACCTAGATGATTGCCCCATTTGCTTCGAGACCATAGAGAAAAACGATGCCAGTCAACCAAATTTGTGTAAACATCAATTTTGTTTAAAATGTTTATTTGAGTGGACAAAAACAAATGAAACCTGCCCCATCTGCAGAAAATTTTATTATGCAATAAAATTAAAGGACAGATATTTACCAGTTTTTAAGGAAGATGGACATGATCAAATGTTATTTTTGACAATATATTTTTTGTTGAAATAGCAGGTTTTAAATTAAGGAAGATTTGCTATTTAGTCATAAAAATGTATATTTCCAAATAAAGCAATTTTATATGAACTCGTTTTTTATTTCCTGTAATTATTATGTGAACGTCGCATTGGGTCGTTGATCCTTGTCAATTATTAAAAAATTTGATGTAAAGCAACCAAAAAGAATTATTCCTATTCCAAAATCAGGAGGAATTCTACCCCTTATTCCATTATTTGCTGGCTTATCTGCTCTTGGAGCTCTTCGTGGGGGAGCAGCTGGTATAGCTAAAGCAGTTAATGACGCTAAAGCTGCTAACGAAAAGTTGCAGGAACAAAAACGTCACAATCTAAAAATGGAGACCATAGCGTTGGGTAAAAAGGGAAGCGGTCTTTATTTGAAACCATACAAAACTGGATGTGGTCTATTTCTAAAGCCAAAAAACTGCTAAACATGCTACCACGCAAACCTCTCACGAATATTGATATAAAAAAATACGTTAAGATGTTAAAAATTCCTAATTTTAGGGGAGTTTTTATGCGAAACAGGCTACCAAAACTCATAAATAGATATGAAAGTGGAGTTATTAATTTGGACAACCATTATGGACCAGGCACACATTGGACGGCGTATATAAAAAATAACAAACATATAAATTACTTTGACAGTTTTGGAAACTTGAGACCACCCACAGAGCTAATAACGTATTTTTTAAGTGATGGTAGCAAAAACAAGATTATTTATAATCATGATCAATATCAATTCTACAATACTGAAAATTGTGGACAATTATGTTTGCAGTTTCTATATAAGAACTCGCTATAATGAGTTTTTGTTATTCTAGAAACAAACATCATGTCATTTACAATAGCGCTTTCAGCTAGGAGTAACAAGCTTCATGCAGATTTTAATCCTCCTATTTATTTGGATGCTGAATCTGATTATGTTATAGGACTAAGTAATTTTGAAACATTTAATGCCATTCCCAACGTAGACGAAAAAAACAATAAGTTATATTATGGAAAAAAAAATGAGTTTATTGAAATTCCTCCAGGAAGTTATGAGATGGAAGATATAAACAATTATTTACAAGAACAGTTTAAAAAGAAACAAATAACTTTTCAGTTGAATGCTAATAATAACACGCTAAAGTCAGAAATTGTATCATCTGTAGAGATTACTTTCAAAGATGGAACCATCGGTCCAATACTGGGATTTAGAAATCAAACTTTAAAAGGAGACAATACAGTCAAAATTTCAGATTTTCCAGCTGAAATTATAAAAGTTAATTCTCTGTGTGTAGACTGCAGTATTGCTGAAGGATCCTACCTAAACGGAGTGCCAGTTCACATCATTCATCAATTTTGTCCCAACGTGTCACCAGGATTCAAAATAATAGAAAGTCCACAAAATATTATATATTTTCCAGTGACGGTCAAAGTAATAGATAAAATAACAGTAAAAATAATAGATCAAAACGGGGACTTGGTTAATTTTCGAAACGAAACAGTCACTCTTCGCTTACATATAAAAAAGGTCGAATAATGGTAATTTTATACAATCAGGGTTCAACTTTCCAGTTACCTGAATCTGAAAGACCATATAAAGGTAAATCTGATGAAAAAAAGGTTAGTAGGCGAGCTAACTCTAAAGGGTTAACAAGACAAAATAAGTTATTTCTTCAATCTCTCGGATTAAAAGTGTTAGTATGAATATACTGAACATTACAGAACAACTTTACGTTGATAATTCCATCACTCATTCTGAAATCGACTCTTATGAACCTTATTTGCCAACAAAATTAGGAAACAATGATGAAATTATAATTCCTATGCATGAAATAGAAAAATATACGCTTCCATGTGAAAGTTTTTTGTATATAGAAGGAAAATTATCAAAATCGGATGGAACTGTTTCAAAAACCTGTCAACTTGTTAATAATGGAATTGCTTTTCTATTCAAGGAAATAATATATCAATTGAATAGGGTTACTATAGATTCTGTAAGAGATGTAGGTTTAACTTCTACCCTCAAAGGATATCTTTCCTTCAACGTAAACGAATCTAACAAATTAAGAAATGCAGGGTGGTTTTCTACAGAAATAGTTGCAACGGGTACTACCACTACTACAACAAAGCAAAGAGTAGTTGATGAAAATACAGGATTATTTAATGTCTGTATCCCTTTAAAAATATTGATGGGATTTTTTGAAGATGACAAAAAAGTTATATTAAATGCAAAACAGGAACTTATTACTTATTATTGTTAGAGATAATACAGACAATAACGCAATAATATCAACAGATGCAACTGAAAGTCCAAAGATCACATTAACGAAACTAACATGGAATATTCCTCATATTTCAGTAGCGATTCCACAAGAATTATCCCTAACAAAAATTATCGATAAAAATAGTGATATTTTAATTGCTTTTCGTAGTTGGGAATTAATTGAGTATCCGGAGCTTTTAAAAACAAATAGACACAACTGGCCCGTAAAAACGTCAACCAGGGTAGAAACACCTCGTCATGTAATTGTTGCATTTCAAACGGAAAAACGAGATTCTCTTAGCTCGAATATGAGTGAATTCGATGACATAAACTTGAGAAATATTAAAGTATTTTTGAACTCTGAGAGATATCCATATAACGATCTTAATTTAGATATAAGTAAAAACAGATTCGCTGTTTTATATGAAATGTATTCTCAGTTTCAAACAACTTATTATGGAAAATCTGATGAACCCTTGTTTGATCCTGTTAAATTTAAAGATACAGCACCTATTGCATACATAAATTGCTCGCATCAGAAAGAATCTCTACAAGCAGGCCCCGTTGTTATGAGAGTAGAATTTGATTTACACAAGGATCTAGATAAAAATACATCAGCTTATTGTCTTATATTACATGATAAAGTTTTCAGTTATAACCCCCTCACCAAGGTGGTTAGGCAACTATAAAGCGAAAACCAGTGCAAATCCAGCACGAAACCAGCATGGAACCAGCAAAAACCAGCACGAAACCAGCAAAAACCAGTGAAAACCAGTGAAAACCAGCAAAACCAGTGAAAACAAGTGAAAACCAGTGAAAACCAGTGAAAACCAGCAAAAACCAGCACAAAACCAGCTAAAACCAGCAAAAACCAGCAAAAACCAGTGAAAACCAGCATGAAACCAGCATGAAACCAGCAAACCAGCACCAAACCAGCACGAAACCAGCAAAAACCAGTGAAAACCAGTGAAAACCAGTGAAAACCAGCAAAAACCAGCACAAAACCAGCTAAAACCAGCAAAAACCAGTGAAAACCAGCATGAAACCAGCATGAAACCAGCAAACCAGCACCAAACCAGCACGAAACCAGCAAAAACCAGTGAAAACCACTAAAACCAGTGAAAACCAGCAAAAATCCAGATAAAACCAGCCCAAATCTATATAGGAGAAGCAGCATTATATTACCAATTGACTGTGTAATTAAAGCTATGCCATTTTGCGTAGGATTATTGTCTTAATGAAAACCAGAAAATCCACAGTGGGCAGTCTTCAAGGCTAATTACTTGCAAATTATTATGTCACTCATTGCTCTTGTTTCATATTACTTTAGAATTATTTTTCCTACGATGAGTGAGTGTCAATGCTGCTATACTACCTCAAGGAACGTGTTCGAAAGGCTTTTTCCTCCCTCAAACAAGGTAAAAACATTAAAACAAATTAATAAACTATTATTTTCGTGTCTGATTAGAAATGGGAACGAGAAAACGCAAGTTTACCGACAACTCAAAGACGCAAACCTCCAGTGAAACCGCAAGGGGATTTCACTCAAACCGAATGGAACCAATTGGCATGGGAATCGTCACAGGTAATGGACTTTTTTATTTAAATTAAAATCAATATTGTGGCACGGTTTTTAAACAATAAAGAGCCAACCTTGAACTTCAATCCTCAAAAAGCATTAATGCTTTTATAGCGTGCATAGCGAGGCTCAAATTATATGGTTTGTGAATGCATAGAGAAATAAAATATAAATTTATTATTAGAGAGGGATTTCTTTAAATATCTACTAAAAATCAATTATTATTAGTTTAGTCCTAGTAGTAGGTGAATGCACAAAGAAGTTTTTAAACTCTAAATTTCCCCCAAGTTTCATTATCATTTTCGATCTGACTTTAATAGTTGTCCGAGTGTATAGCCTTGCAATAAAGTTCTAAATTTGTACCACATCGATTTTAGGAACTGACCTGCATTCTGTGGCTACATTGCACTGACAAACCATATATGTCATTTTTTTCAATAATTTTAGGCTAATTTGGTGCCCTGCAAAAACTGCTCTAGAACCTTCTACCCTGACAGATTGGAGGTGCACCAAAGAAGTTGCAAAACAACTCCAAGCAATCCAATAATTATTGTAAGAATTTCCATATCATATCCATTATAGAAAATTTCTAAAAATAAACAAATTTTCTAGAAAAAATCCTTTTCATCGAATGACGCTCTTTCGGCCTCATCATCAATGACTCAAAGCAACTCGGATTTACCATCAACGTCTTTAAAATCACCTCAATTTATAGACTGCTACATTTGTGGAAAAAAATTTGGTACAAAGTCCATACAAATTCACGAAAAACAGTGTTTGAAAAAATGGCACGTGGAAAATGAGAGTTTGCCTCGCGACATGAGAAGTCCCGCACCCACAAAACTCAATCAAAACTCAATATTGTTAAAAGAAAAAACTGAATCTGCGGCAAGTGATCAGGAAGAAAGGCCAGCATCTGGTACGAAATCTCCATTGTTCCCATGCTATTTATGCGGAAAATTGTTTACGGTGAATTCGATTTACATTCACGAGCCTCAATGTTTGAAAAAGTGGAAAATCGAAAACGACAAGTTGCCTGCTAGCAAACGAAGACCCGTACCATTGAAACCTGACGTTAAATTTACACGTAAGTTAATTTGTTTGCTTTTTTTTTTGTGGATCAATATATGGGTTGATTATCAAAATTATTCTTCTGTTACTATTGTAAACTATAAATGCAAATTTCGAATATAATAATCACCTGCTAAAAATAACAGGGATTGAGCATTGAGCAGGATGTATAATATACATGAGACATGCAATACACACACACACTCTTTGGGAAATTAACCCTCCGTGGGGTCAATGTACGCTTTTTTAGTTGTAATTTTCCCATGAGGAAATACACGACATTCATAAATTTTTAATTTTCCAGTGGCAGGACATTCAACTTTCATTTTATATGGCCAATAAACTATACATTTCAGGTTGAAATCTGTTACCTACTTCATTTTTGAAACGTTTTAGCTTAACATCCATATGACACAAGTTGAAATGTGATTTTTTTTTAAGTTTACCTACCTTAGGTTGCTCCAAAGATATTTTAAATTTTTCTTCATGGATATTTTGGCTTAATTTGATTACCTATTTAATTTGAACTATCCAAACTCTCAATGCAACATTTGAAACTAATATACATACTTATTAGAATGTACGTAGTTCAGTTGAAAAATATTGAAATCTTGTCATCTCGTTTTCATCAAATGTCTTTCTCAGAACTATAATTCTAAATTCAATGTAAAACCTGCATAATGTAGTGTAGAGCTCATAGAAAACCTACAGAAAAGTATAATCTTTTTAAAGTTAGTTGAAAGAAGGTAAAGGTAAATCACAACGGGCGATTGAATACTTTCATAAGAAATGCAATGCCACTAGTCAGCCATTAGTTGCAATTTATTTTTACCTTGTTTCAATTAACTTTACAAAGACTATACCTATTTAGTTTATTGTAAAGTTTGATGTTAAGTTTATTAAGAATTAATGAGAAGTAGTAGTTGTAAAATTTATTGTAGAGCACATATTCAACCTACAGAGGAATGTCTAAATTATCGTCGAAAATGTAGAATTTGATATAGTACTAACCTCTACAGATGTGTCAATAATATTTTGACACTCGTGAAATTTAATGCAGAATGCAGAATCTTCAAATAGGTAAGCTGGTATAGCTTTTTATTCTACACTCCTGAATTTCCGGTATTTAGAGAATTTTACAGAAATATCAAAATTAAGGTAAAAAATGAAAAATAAACAGACAAAAGTTACTGAAAAACTAATTGTGAAAAAAATACGAATAAACATAAGTGGACATTAACGCAAAAAATAAATAAATAGGTATGTATGTAAATTGAAAGGTGAAGAAATAATATCCTTTTGGTGTATTTTCCCTAAGGGAAGTTTTCCTTAGAAAACTATCTGCCTGTGGCTGTATAAGTAGTTTGGGGTCGAGTAAAAACCAAGATGTAGTTTAATATTGATTTATTATTTAAAAAATCTAATTATTTATACTAACAATCTGACGCATTAACAAGGTTGATGTATCAATTTCAATTAATAAATCTGCTACCGTTTGCAGTTCTAGTAACCTAGTAATTATTATTATGCCGTGCGTATGTTGACTCACAATATTTTAAACATTATTTTATTAATTAAAAAACTTAAATTATATAGTGAGTGATTTTAAATGGATGATTATTTAAACCTAGAAAAGTTGTGCGAAATTGAAACTGGAAAATCCACAGGTTGCTGATAGAATGGTAATCGATGAAAGATTTTAAATTGAAATTGAAAGATATCGAAACTGAAAAGGATATTTTTTCACCTTACCTGACTTTACTTCCAAACTCCACTCAGTTGGTCAGCTCTCTTAAGAAGAGTGAGTCCAATGCGAAGGAGTGCAAACGAAACCGTCTTGATTTAAACCGGTCGCGGCAAGCGAAAAACCGCACACAAAACGGGCGGAGTTTTTTTGGCGACTTTACTCGTCGGCAGTGTAAGGACTCTGCTGTTATCCTTTTTCAGTGTTTGACGCGCGCATTTTTAAAAGTCAAATTTGCAAAGCCGTATCAATTCTTAGGCATATGGCATATAGCACGCGCAATTCAATTAGAATAAAAGAAAAATAAAGAGAAAAAAAAAACGAATTAATTTCCATTCCCAAATAGGATTTGACATCCTAAATACCCAATTTAACCTAAAACTATATATATAGGGCGCGTAGACAAAACTGAACAATAGTTTTATAATGAAATGATAACTATGTCTAATTTTGAGATTGGACAAAAGGCAAGATTATAGAAAAAAAAAATATGAAAAAGTCAGTTCTCCCCTCCCTATTTTAGGCTCTTAAATATTTATTATTCTCTTATTTGAGGAAATTTAAAAGCAAAATACCAAAAATCCTATAATACCTGGAAAAATTGAGAATAGCTATTTATTTGAAAAACCGTTTGTCTATTTCAGGCTTTTGAATTTTACCTTTTTTTTTGTTTCTTGTGTTTTCTTTATTTTCTTAATTATTATTTCATTCCTATTATAATTTCATCTTTCATCCTCAACTCTAAACTGACTGACCAGCATTTAAATTTTTGTGTTTCTTGTGTTTGTGCTCTTTTTTTTTAAATCGAAAGTAAGTAACCGTTTATTCATGATTAAATCAATTCACAAAAGTTTTATTTTTCAGATTCAGGCAAAGTGAATTTTGAAGAAACCAGTGAAGCTTACTGGAAAAGTCACCTAAACCAGTTGGTACCATGCAAAATGTGTTTCAGGACGTTTAATCCGGACAGAGTCGATGTTCACGAGAAAAGTTGTAAAGGAAACTGATTTTATTGTTTGACATAACAATTTAGATTATATACAAATTTGAAAGACGAATAAAATAAAGCTATTTTGTAGAAAATAAGCGAAAATTAGGTGTTTAAATTGAAACACGTCAAATTTCAACTTTGAGCTGCCTCAAGTGTATTTTTATAATTGTTAGAGGAGGTAAAAGATAAAAAAAGAAAAATAATATATTAAAGAAAATAAATCTATTGCCCCAATTTTTGACAACGTAGATAACATTTAACTCTGTTGTATTCAATTTTTTTAAAAATTATCAAATAGAGCCTAATCACATACACAAAATAAAAGGTAAATTAATTATAAACAATTAAAACGCGATTTTAGAAATTAAACGTCGTATTTAATTACTGTTAAGATTAAATAAATATTGTTCAAAAGAAAAACACAATGGGAGGTTCTCTGAAATCAAAAGACAAACACGATACGCGCTATCTTTGAGTCAAGTAGGTATCTCTTTTATGTTTCGTATTTACAATCCTAAAATAGTAACTTAATTTATTGTGATGTGAACATAAGTGAAAAATGTCTCTGGAAAAAGCCAAAAGTATCGAAGCAGGCCTCCAAGCGATGATCGGTAGCTGCCATGATATCCAACAAAAAAAATCATTTTTTGAACGAGCAAAATTTATTCTATCCCACATGACTATAGAACCTGTTTTAGTCCTTTACATTCTACCGAGCATTATGATAACTATAGCGGTGCAAAATTTAAACTTAGAAAAAGCTTGCAGAGTCAACTTAGGCATTTCGATAGAGCATTGCGATGCTCTGACTATAAGAAACGAGACAGCTTATGAAGGGTATAAAAGGGACGAGGAAGCGGTGCAAACATTAGCGGCACATATGACTATTATCAAAAATACGGTAAGCGTATTTTATCCATATGGTTACCTTTGATATGGGCAGATTTATGAATTCAGGGCTACATTTTTCATTAAAACTAATGGATTTTTTTTTGAGAAACCTGCCAGTTTTTTTCCAAAACAATTGTGTGGCAAGTACAGGGTGGTCCAACACACATTGACCCAGGACCGTCGCTATGGTGTTAGCTGCCTGGGCTGGAACTCTGTAACGGATAGAGATCGTTATCCCTATCGCTATGGCACTTGCTGTCTTCTCTCTTCTCGAAATCAATAGAGAGGGGACGTCAATAGAGATAGAGAAAATATCTCTATTCGTTACAGAGTCCCAGCCCTGTGTGCCCAGACAATTTTCGCCGCCCCACTCCCATCTAAAGTACGAAACTTTAACGTATGAGTCGTGAAACGTGGTAAAGACGAAGGAACACAAAAAGAATTCGCGCATCTGTAGTGACGTCACAAGGGTATCGGCGTTTGACAATGATAGTTTATAATCCTTGATTTGTGCGTCAATCGTTCGTCGGCTGTCCTTTCTGGGTCCTTATTCTTGAAACAGTGGAGCAGCGTTTCCAGGAGAACGAGTGTTCCGTCTTTGTTACTTATATCATTGCAAAAAAAGCTCAATATCATTGTATAACAATGCTTATATTATCATTTGCATATCATTGAGAAAGGCAGAACACTCGTTTTACTGGGAATGTTGATCCCCTGTTTTAAGAATAAGGACCCTGGCATGCCACACGTAAACTTTGGTGCACAAATCGGGCAAAGGCTCCAGATCGTCTTTCGTGATGAAATAACCCAAAAACTCACTTTCCTGTAGACCTTTAGCCATTTCGTATGAAAAATTGGCTTCTTTTTCCATTAGAATGCGGTCCAAATTGATAGCGAATTTTGCCATATCGATGACAAATGGACGGTTAGGTAAGAAACCCTGAAACAATCAAGGTAATACAATACATAATTATCAATAGTAATATCACGTAATATGACAAGTGCAATGGAAATTATATAGTTATTTTTGTAGTGCGAAATGCTACTTTGGTGATCGAGAACTGATTTTTTTAACGAGGCGCAGTCGAGTGGGTGAAGCATATGGCAAAAACAGGTGTGATGTCAGGTGACCATTGGCGTTCTAACGTAGGGAGCCACCAGCTCACATTCCTTTGGAGTATCAGATTAAAATCGACGAACTATAGGTGCTAGTGGTTTCTAGAGATACAGATTTTAAGAAAGATTTGGCAACATGGAGACAAACATTTTGCTTCATCCTTTATTTTTTTATAGAGTAGTAAAGGACGCAAATAGGTTGCGATGTTTTATGCCTCATACCAAGAGTGCGCGAGCGACAAAGTGCAAACAGCTGTTGCGGTTGTCGTTGGTGAAAGGTTTGATGCGCTGTTGCCATAGTCGTGACTGAAAAGAACTCTGAATTTTTCAAAAGTTAGGGTGCAGAAATTTCTGTTGACTTGCCCTTTCTAATTATACACATTTAAACAGACCCATAATTCAATTCGACGCAGTCATGTTTTGGCATGATGTATGAGGTTTGGCATCCTCGCATTTTTATTGATTCTAAAGACTTTGACGTCATAGTCCTTGCCCGCGTTTTTGCAGCAGTTGAAATATGATTTTCAAATCATTTTATTTTCAAAAGCGTTTTTATTGGAAAAAAAGTACATACACAGTTGGCAACACTACATATTACATGCGGAGATTTCTAGTGCCATAAAAAGAGATGGTAATTAATTTGATAGGCAAAGGCTCCAGTAAAGTAAGGACAGGGAGAAAGGGTGCTCTAACAGATTCCCCTTCCACCTGCCCGAGGACCCAAGAAAACGCTTTCTTGGGAAAGCAACAAGGTTGCCAAATGATTAAGGTTACATGATCAAAATCCATGATGCATGACTATCCATAATCATGCACGATCCATAAATATTCTATGGAACGGCAACACCGGCTGGCGACTGGTCTTTTTCGACTTTGCCGTCGTCGTCATTTGCCAAAATGGTATGCGTCTTCCAGATCACTATCTTCATTCTCGTCCAATATCTGACCGCCGCCTAAGAAATTTCACTTCAAAAAATCGAGTTTTCATAAGGCCCTTCGAATTATAATTTCAAAATCTTCAAACCTCGATTGCTCGGTAACCGATGAGCAAATTGCATTGAAGTTTTCAGCATTTGTAGCTCTTATTAAGCTCTATATGGCCTATAATTTACAATATTCCCAGATTTATAGTTTCTGAGCAAATTAAGTTTGGAGTATTTGACAAAATTTGGACTAAAAGTCAAATTTGAGGCTCAATTTCTCAAAAAATATTTAAGCTATCAAACTCAATTTTGCAGTCATCTTTGAGGGTAAATTGCTCAAAAACTATTCCAGAAATCAAACTTAATTTTGTACTGATTTATAGAGAATTTAATGCTCTTTCTGTCCAAAACCAAAAATAGGATTTTTCTTTTCATTTTTGTTTCTGCTTAAAATGGCCATTTGAAATTGATGTCAGGGTTGTTTTCCAATAAATTTGACCCACTCTATCGATTGGTAAAATCAAAATTGAGTAAAACTCGAAAATGAAAAAATCGAGTTTTTCATGATATTCTGATTTCAAAATATTCAAACCTCAATTGCTTAGTGACCGTTGTGCGAATTGCATTAAAATTTTCAGCATTTGTAGCTCTTATTAAGCTCTATATGGCCTGTAATTTACAATATTCCCAGATTTATAGTTTTTGAGCAAATTCAGTTTGAAGTTTTTAACGAAATTTGGACTGAAATTCAACTTTGAGGCTAAATTGCTCAAAAACTAAAAAAGCTATCAAACTCAATTTTGCACAGATATACATATAGAGAATTTGATGCTCTTTCCAATGGTGTATAATTTATTTCAATTTGCTTGAAATTTATCAAAGATATAAGTTTGATGGGTTTATTTGTTTGAGAGATTTATTTTCGATGGGTATGATTTATTTTGAATTTCTAAGACGTAAATGTAGAGTGATTTGAAAGACCCGTCACGTTTTGGAAAATTTCGTTACACGAGAGAGAAGACAGATATAACGTAGAGAGACGGAGAAAGACAGCTAATGATAATGGCAGCCGAGGAACGATTTATACAAACCAAGGATTATAAGCAAGGAGGATTGCCTATTATTGTCAAGCGCCGATACCCTTGTGACGTCTCTACACATGCGCGACTCCCTTTTGTGTTGTCCTTCGTCTTTACCTTGACTCAGACAGAGGACTGTTAAAAAACCGAGATAAAAATGTGAAATAATCGGTTTTGACCTTAAAGGTCTTGCAGCCATTTTTCGTAGAATTCAAATATGCTTCGAACCTGATAAAAAAATTCGACGGTTCAGGTAAAACGCTATACTACTTTTGTACAGGGTGACTCAGAGTAAATTTACCTTTTCGAACGCGTCCTGTACATCCAACTTAATATTTGTGGAGGGGTTAGCGCTGGCAATTTACGGCGACTGCATGCGGATTATCAGTAAGCAGTGGTCGAACAAGCAACGCGCGTTCAGTGTCGAGGCGTTTTTTGAATCAAACGATTCCTATGTCGCGGCACGGCGACTTTTTTGTAACCGGTACAATATTCGGCGTATACGTGATACTCCGTGAAAAAATTTATTGAAATTATGGGTTCAAAGATTCAGACAAAGTGGTCCAATGGCAAATCCGAAGCGTCCCGGCCAACAGAAGTTCATCAGAACGCCAGAGAACATTGGGATTGTGCGACGTGCTGCGACTGAAAATCCGAAGCACTCAATTCGAAAATATGACGGTACGCTTCTGATTTGCCAATTGCCACTGTACTACTGTACCACTTTGAATCTTTGAACCCACGATTTCAATACATTTTTTGACGTAGCGTCGCGTATACGCCGGATATGGTTACGGTTACAAAAACGTCGCCATACTGCGACATAAGAATCATTCGATTTAGAAAACGCCTCGACCATAAACGCGCGTTGCTCGTTCGACCACTGCTCCATGTTTACTGATAATCCGCACGTAGTCGCCGCATATTGCCAGCGCTTAACTGCCCACAAATATTGAGTTGGATGTACAGGGCGCGTTCGGAAAGGGAAATTCACTCGCGCTGTATTTACCTTTTTCACCTGTCACTTGCAATTACGGACGGCTGCAGGTGGGAAGTCAATTTACGGTGGACCGCCCTGTATGAATTATGCAAAATCTTCGAAAATAGGCTTCAATAAGCAAGAAACTAATATGAATAACTGAAACAACTAGTGGTAATGACATAGTGCTTGAATACAGTAGAATGATTTTCACATTAATCATACACCCTGTAGATAGGAGCAGGATAAAACTTTACAAATCCTAATTGGGAAAAAGGACTTTCTCTGACTTGTGTAGACTTTCTCTAGGTCAAAATTCCAAGTTTCTACCCAGCAATTATAGCAAAATTATTTAATATTCATCCAATATATTCTAGGTCCAAAGCATTATCCCAGGAACCATCCTCCTATTCCTAGGCGCGTGGAGCGACAGGTTCCAGAAACGCAAACCGTGCATGCTGGTACCGATCCTAGGTGACATGCTCTGCGTCACCGGCTTACTAGTTTGTACTTACTTTTTTTACGAGTTACCGATCGAAGTCAATTCGATTTGCGAGTCCGTGTTTCCGGCGATATCCGGCTCGTGGTTCGCCATGTTCATGGGAGTTTATAGTTATATTAGCGATGTGAGTAGTGCCAAATTCCAAATAACTGCATAGTTTCTCGGGTGACTAAGCACTTGAGGAATGTATATTTTTTTTTTTTTTTTTTAGGTGCAGTAAATATGTTAGCAAATGTGAGCATGTGCATTGGTACTGCTTTGAGTGGAGTTCTTTACGAAGCTACAGGTTTTTATGGAGTTTATTTTACGGCTCTGGTAATGTACTCCATTGCATTTGCTTACGGCTACTTGTTTATTAAAGATAAACCTTTAGAAGATGGAGCTGAAATTCGGAGTAGAGGATTTTGTTGCGACTTTTTCCAAACCGATCATGTAAAAGAAACTTTTAAAACTGCAATGCGTTCTAGTAATAAGCGCGGAAGGAAAAAGAGAGTTTGCGGCATTATGTTTCTGTTTGCTGTTATTGTTGGGCCACTTTATGGTGAGAATTGTTTGTCTGTGTTAGTTATTTTGAGCCAAAAACTATCTCTTTTTAGGCGAGATGAACGTAGTCTACTTTTTCGTGAGGCTAAGATTCGGTTGGGATGCTATTCAGTACAGTTTCTTCTCAACATTTCAATTTGTTACCAATACTTTAGGCAAGTACATTCAAAACAAACCATAAATAACTAACTAATAATGAACTAATTTACAGGCACCATCTTTTCCTTGTCATTCTTTTCCCAATTCCTCAAACTCGACGATGCGCTTTTAGGAATAATTTCATGCTCAACAAAAATCCTTGCATGTGGAGTTTACGCTTTTGCACCGAGTCCTTTATATTTTTACTTGGGAGCACTTGTAGAACTCCTCAATGGAACTTCTTTTATTGCCATGAGGGCTATGATCACTAAGTTGGTTAGGCCAGAAGAGCTAGGCAAAATTAACTCTTTATTTGGAGTGTTTGAAGCTATAGTACCAATGATTTACGGTCCATTGTACAGCAGGATTTATAGTAGGACCATTGACAGTTTTCCTGGCTGTTTCTATTTGGTTGGCGGTGGCTTGACTGGGCCTGCTTTGTTTATTTTTTAGTAAGTTGTAGCATTGAATGGATGAAATTTCTATTTGATTAAATTTCTCTAGTTGGCTGTATTTGGAAAATAAAAAAGATGCTGCGTCGAGTCCTCAACCTCAAGAAGAAAAACTGATGCAAGAAATAACTGAAATTGAGAAAGAAACTGGAGAAGAAATAAAATCTGAATTGGAAAAATAAAAATGATTGATTTTTATGGTGTTTTATTTATTCATAGAAGGCACTATTCACGGAAAATAACACTTATTTTATATTTCAGCTTCAGGTGGTGTTGATTTCAAGGGAACATTCAATCGAATCTGGGAGAATCACTTGACGGAACTCGTGAAATGCTCAAAATGCGATCGAACATTCTTCCCGGATCGGATCGGGACGCACAAGGAAGCTTGTAAAGGCTTGAAAATTGAAATTAAACATAAAACAAATGCTAAAAAATAATAAGAACGGATTAAACTTTCATTGAGACTATAGTTAAAAGTTAAATAAAAACTTTCTTCCATAAACACCTTGTTACTCTTAAAAATTTGATAGATCTTTCTGTTGCCGTTTTGAGGAAAGGTGAACACACACTGATATAATTCCAGTATTCAGATTCCTTAAAATCCTTGTGTAAATAATTCGATTCGATTCAGACTCAATAGGTACCTCATTCTCCTGGTTCTCCGTGCTTTTATTTATAATGGAGTAAAGTTTTAAAATCAATTATTGTGGAACATTGTTTTGTCATTTTTAATATACCCCCTTACGAATTTTCTGAAAATTTGGTGGTTTACTGATTAAGTAGGTGTAGGAAGGCTTAAATGAGCGGTCTTAAATTCAGAATTACTAGCACGACAGTTTAGATTAGAACACTTTTATATTAAAAAAAAAAATACCTACCTATATAGGTAATTTAACTTGATCCGATCTGGTGCGCAACCACCACCACAACCAACACACTAGAGGTGTCTCGCGTCTCAAAAATGTTCTTAAACGTTTTTCAAAACTGGTTCAAAAAAGTGTCACCACATGACGTCATAGCTATTTATGTACCAAGGGGATTATGTAGATTATAATGCCCGATGGCGAAACTAGCCCGAGGGCCTCTGGCCCGAGTGATATATTTCGCCTGAAGGGCATTATAATCGTAAAATCACCGTGGTGCATACAATCTCATAAGGCAAGGCAAACGGTGGTGGTCGAGTGGGTTAACGCGGTGGACTACATGGGAAACGTTGATGGTAGACCGGGTTCGAATCCTGGCTAGACCGAAACTTATTTTCGGTCAGACATTTAGTGGCTGCCTAGGGTAAAGTGCAAATTAATAAAACTACAACAAAAACACAGGGTATTATAAGCGGGCGTTATAGATCATAACGCCCGAAAAAGCGGGCGTTATGGATCAGGTTGTTATAGGTATGTTAACGTATTTCGTTTCCTAGGTATTATGGATCTATAATAGTTCGGTAGAAAATAAAAACTTTTTGGCGCGAGAAAATGGTTTTAAAACGTTGATTGGATTGTATTTCGGAACGGTTTGAACCAAATTTTCATGTCATGGCGTCATGGGTTCATCGCTGTTTCAAACCTGTTTTGAACCAGTTTCAAAAAAGTAAATACAAGAAAACCGGTTAGCCCTTTTTGGAAGCGCTAATCCGGGTTTCCGAAAAGCCATTTTCAACTTCCGTCCTTTCCACCTCTTTCCTCCCTTTGCTTTCTTCGCCAGGGATCACAACTGACAGCTAATTGTTCTTGAGCTAGCGGGTCTAGCAGGAATTTTAATTGAAAACCTTTGGCGGGGATATTAAGTGGTTACTAGAGACAGAAAAAATCCTGCCCGGGACGAAAAGAACCTTTTTCCCCCCTTATTTAGGGGTCGAAAATGACATTTTCTAGTGAAGTAGTAGAAATAGTTATTTGTGTCATTAGGCCAAGAAATGGGTCTTTTTGTGCTTATAGCTTTACGCGGGGGCCTACAATTGTGAAAAGCATAAAAAGGATAGACCTATCTCGCATAAATAGAAAAAGGGAGCTTAATTGTAATAAATACAAGTTATAAAGTTATAAAAGATGACATGCGCGCGCAACTCGTGGCTGCAGTGTAGCCAGATTGTATTGTTGCAGAATAAATGTAGACAATACATATCAAACATTATAACATTAAAGAAGTGTTATGTCAAGTGTTGTACAACGTCTTAAATCAGCCTGTAACATCGCTTCTCATTGGACACTCATTTGCAACCCACGAGTTGCACGCGCAGTTAAGGTAAAAAAAGATAGGTCTAAATCGCCAGTCCTGACGTAGGCAGCATGCAAGGATAATACACACTACTAAGGATTGCTTACCGGCCTCGTTTCTGGTAACCGCCGCTATATTGGTGTGTCACCATTTCCGACGTCATAACTGAGTCGTCAGCTATTTGCACTAGCGCTCGTAGTTTAGCAAGGATGATACACACTACTACTACAGGATGGCCTATCCTCATAAGGCCTGAGTGTAACAAATCTCCCGCAAGCCAAAATACCAGTTGACACGTAGGCAGCATGTTATTTCGTAGGCTGTTTAAGTTTAAACAGCTGACGACTTAGTTATGACGTCGGAAATGGTATCACACTAACAATGAACTATAAACTACACGTATCTGGAATGGCACCGACTGTTGTCGCATATAGGCGGTTACACACGGGCGTGGATAGCTTAATACATATACGTGCATACATCAACGTGCAAACAACAGCGTGCATGTCGCGTTTGTACAGACGCTCGCACAAAACTGCAGTCTTGCTATTCTTGCTACAGTCATCCGAGTGTGCATACATAATTTCTAGCGATTCCACATTCAAAAACGCGACGGTATTTTGTATACACATTGATGTTTTTGTTTGCGCGTTCATGTATGTGCGTACATGCTTTCAGACATCCACGTCCGTGTGTAACCGCCTTATGGCATTTGTATGGCATTTGTCATCTCGCTTAGTGCGTCCAAAAAAGCTACATAGTGGGGGATCCCTTTCTCTCTCCAGTTCATTGCTGTTAGGTTTGGTCTTAGACAAGGAAAGAGAGGGGACTCGTAACACAGCAGGTGAAAATGAAGCAGTTTGCCACCAAAAAATGTCTGCTTTTTTCATAACATAACCTAGAAAGCATATTGTTTTTGGGATCGCCCCATTTGTGCTAATGTTCATTTGCTCGGGATCACCCCATTTGTGCTAATGTTCATTTGCTCTACCCACCCGAAGTCGCCTTCGGGCGGGAACGTCGGACGAGCCGAAGTCCGACCGGAGTATGACCCTCATCGAAACGAATGCAGTTGTTGTAGCGCAAATGGGTACAGCGTTGCCGTTCCCTCTCCATCTGGCGGGTATTTAAAATAGAAAATAGAATTCTATTTCGATATTTTTCAAGTATTGAGTGGGTGTGGTGTTTTGTTTACTTTAAAAATGGAAAATTTTAACTTTTAATATTTTATTGGTTAAATATTAATTTATTTTAACCTTCCATCGCGAGTTTTATAACATCATTAGTCACGCTGTATCACAGAGATACATATACTAAATCATTGATAAAAAAATTGAACCATCTGATGAATTTCGGTTTTACAATTTCTATGTATTGATTCGGGTACTCAACAATCAAAGATAGAACATTTTCACTGAGAAAGAGATTCCAGAAGTTGAATTCTATTTTCGCTATCTTAATGTTTCGAGCGCGCTCGGACTGCTCGGAGTTTACCGAGTGTAAAGCCACTGTGTGCAGAAGCTAGTTTCTGGATAGGAATTAGCAAATAAGCTATCCAAGTGCTCCTAAATAGTCGAAGAAGAACAGTCATTCAGATTTTTTTCATTACCAGGAATCACCTTTTCTACATTTATTAAAATCGATGAAGAAACAAGCACAACCTGAATCGCAAGCATCCCATCGAGGCTTGCGGGTGACGTCACCACTATAAGAGGCTATGCTGCTAATAGTACTAACGTCACTCGCAGGCCTTGCCGACTCGAGAATTGGCGAACGTACGCCTTATAAGGAAAAGCAATCCTATAGTTTATGATTCTTGCTATGCAAGTGTTTCCAAATAGTCAAAAAAAATTTGATCAGTTAATCATTAAACTAAATAGAGATTTTTTCTCATTATTAGGAAATGGAAATTGTTGGCTTCACGTTTAACTAGTTGGTGGTTAAAAGCTAATTTTTTTCTGGATAGGACTTAGGTGCTCAAGTGCTCCTAAATAGTCAAAGAAAAACATGAATTAGTTATATTATTTGAATTATAGATTTTTTTTGTATTATTATAGGGAACTGAACTACTGGCCTTACGTTTACTTGGGGGTGTAAATATTTGCAGCGAAACTGATAACACTGGCTATAATGTTGTAATAATTGGAATTAGGTGCTATCTTAGTGCTCCTGAATAGTCGAAGAAAAACTTGAACTATCTAAAACTTCAACTTTTTGGGAGCACTTAAATAGCACCAAATTCCAATACAACATTTTAGTCGCAGTTTTCAGATTCGCTGCAATGCAAATACATCCCCAAGTAAATGTAAAGCCAGCAATTCCTTAATGAAAAAAAAATTTGTACTTCAGTTTAATAATTAACTGATTCAAGTTTTTCTTCAAATATTGAGAAGCACTTAAATAGCACTAATTCCTATCCATAAACATTTTAGCTCTGACACACCACCAACTGAACGTGAAGCCAATAATTTGCCAATAATGAAAAAAAACTGTAATTCAGTTAATAATTAACAGATTCAAGTGTTTCTTTGACAATTTAGGAGCACTTAAATAGTAGGTACCTAAATTCAATCCAAAAACATTTCAGCCTTTAACGGTTTAACGGCCAATTTCATGATAGAGAATTAAAAGTTACTTTAGCTAAATAGACTTTTAGGATGGGATTTTTCTACTTCAAATGGACCTTTATATTTAAAGTTTACTTTAAGTTGATTATGAAATTGGCTGTAAGCCTCTAACACACCCCCAATAAGTAAACGTGAATCCAGGAATTTCCTAATATTGAAAAAAAATCTGTAATTCAGTTAATAATTAACTGATTCAATTTTTTCTTTGACCAGGTATTTAGGAGAACTTTAAAAAGCATATTATCTAAATTCTGATACCAAAGAAAAATTTAAAAAAATATTTTTCACTACAGAGGGGACTGCTATATTTCATATTAACCTAGCAATCCCTTCGTTTTTTTCCATATGGGACTGCTAGGTTTATTGACCTAATATTCTGGGAAATCAATAAATAATACAACCCCATATGATTTTAAATCTGGGGAGATACTTTGATAGGTATATGTATTATTGACTTTACATTTATAAATAATTTTACACGTCTGTATAAACTCTACAAGGACTCTACGCTTTAATAAATAAGTATATTATATATTTCTAAAATCTTAACTCTACTGTAGACTGTAGTTAATAAAAATAAAGTCCACAATCATTCACTAAATACAAATACATTTTTTAATTTATTTTTATTATTATCAGCTGATTACACCAGATGTTCCGCGCGCCCGCCGCGTACACAAAACCTTCATAAGCTTCAACTACTCTTGCTACTCCGCGATCATGTTAACTGATCCCGATCATAGCCGATCGCGTTCGTGAGTAGACCATTTGCGGATTAGCACAAATGCACAGTAGCACAAATGGAGCCATCTCATTTGCTCTACCCACCCGAAGTCGCTGTCGGGCGGGATCGTCGGGCGAGCCGAAGTCCGACCGGAGTATATCCC